GACCAAAAAAGCTAGAAAGCTGGAATTTCAAGGGAATGTACCCCGTTCTAGTGGGACTTAATGAGTTCAAACCCAACCCCCCGGTATAGGTGGTCCCCGCGTACGGGCCTGTGAAAATTTTCAGCAAGTAAGTTGTTAACTCCGAAACCAGTGAAGCTAGAAGGCTGCATTTTTGAAGGGATTTTTTCTGGTAGTCCTGGTGGCCGTCTCAATTTTTTTAGCTAGAAGCATCTGCCTGAAAAACAGTGCCGTTAGCGACAAAGACCTCGGAGAACTATGCAAGAAACGCACCTTCACACTGGCAGTTGGTGCGCTGGCCAGTTATGGTTTTCTTGAAGTGGTCGTCAAGTCAGGTGCTGTTCAATAACACTCGAAATTAAGCCCCTCCACCTTCCCCTCCCCCATCCTTCCTCTTCCCCTGCAAGTCTTATTAGGCTAACAGTTCCCCGCTATCATTGCACTTGCAATGTTCATTTGTGCATTCGCTCATAAGAGTCATTCTGCAGCTTTATGCAAACTAACATTCTGAACATTGCCCCAATTGTCCTTCCTCGTTGTTGATGTATCGTAATAGTTTTTATTGGTACGGCCGATTTTTTTGGAGGGAGAGGGACGGGGGGAGGATGAAGGATTGTAACATGTTCTACGTCAGCCTAGTTATAACAAGGCTGTAATGCTTCATAATTAGTTTCCGTATATATGTGATTTTTATTCCAATCGCGGCGCCACGCGTTTCAGCGGTGATGCGCTAGTGTTGGTGCTAGCTACATGATAGTGTTAAAAACCCATTTTGCGAAGACTTTGTGCAATAGTAATGTTTCAGTTCATTGCTGCTTGTCTGAAAAGGTATGGAACACTAAACACATAATTTGCAGGAAGCCAACACGGGGTATACAGCTTCTCATTGAACTGGGCTTCGTCGAAGACAGCTCGCTGGCCGTTGCCAATTTACTTTTAGGCCGTCGTGGTCTGAGCAAGCAGATGATTGGTGAATACCTCGGATACCTGCACAGCCCATTCCAGTCGTCTGTGCTCAAGTAAGTCACTTTCTATGGATTCAGACGGAGCCACCGAGCTGACTCTTTCGCGTCGAGGCTGTTCTGGGTTATTGCCTGACGTCGTCAAACCTCAAATACTGAGTATTTCTTGCACTCATCTTCATCTCTTTTTTATAATGACTAAAATTTCTCGGCCCAAAAGATTTATCACTAACTTCTTCGATGTTTCTATCCAGCCGCCTGATAAATCTGGCTGTTCTTTTCAAGCACGAATGTTTAGCATCCATACGTGTGTTTTCTCATTTGTTTTGGGATGTTACTTCATTCCACAGCTTTTCCTACTACATTTGCTCGGTTTTGTCTTTTTAAATATCAATTTTTTAATGGTTGTCTCGATGAGACGTGGCAGGCTACGAAATATCAAATTTCGTCCACTCAAATTTTTATTTCAGTGGACTCAGAAAGCTCGACTTTCTGAATCATCTTCCCCTGCGATAGATTTAAACGACCGTGAAATTAGCAGGCTGCTAAACAGTGCCGGGTTGGCGCAGTTTTTTGAAACACAAAAAAGCTCTCAGTTTCTGCGCGTGAATAGTGGAGTTTAAGTTCGCTCTAGAAACTGTTTTTTAAACGTAGTATTTTAAGTTTTTTGAATGGTTTTCGAATTTCGCAAAAGAGAACAGTCGTTTTTAGACATTTCGTGGGACTGATTGACTTGCATGGAATGGAAGTGGACGTTGCACTGAGGCATGCGCTCTCTTTTTTCCGGCTTCCGGGAGAGGCACAAAAAATTGAACGAATTATGCAGGTACTTTTTTTTTCCTCGAATTTTGCCTGTAAAATATTCGGTGAAGAAATAAGCTACGTTAGCTCTGGTTGACAGGAAGTTCCCAGTTATAAAGGAGGTTGATTAGGAGTCGGCTTTTAGAGAAGTTGATTTCCGAAACGATTTTTAAACAGAATGGTCAGCACTCAGGCTTGCTATTTGCATCGCTATCGTGTGAACAGTTTACCGTATCCTTCAGCAAGATATGCTAACAGTGATTGCAGGTGTTTTCCGCCCATTATGCCACGTGTAATCCTGAGAAGGTTGCCCTTTTTCGTAGTGCCGAGACGTTGTTCATACTGGCTTTTGCAATTGTGATGCTCAACACGGATCTTCATTCACCAAATATCAAACCGTCGCGGAAGATGAAGCTGGACGATTTTATCAACAATTTACGTGGGATCGACGCTGGATACGATATTGACAGGTCTTTTTTTTTAGCATTTTGCGTTTACGAAATTAAGATGCAACTTTGGAATGTTATGTTTTAATTGCGCTGTGAAGTCAGTAGAGGACTATCTTCCGATAGAGGAGTGACAGGTTGGGAAAAGGTGTGGGGCATTTCTACTTGGAATTGTGCCGTTCTTGATTTCACACCATTTCTTTCAAAACTTTTTGCGTCAAATTTGTTGCCAGTAATAAAGGTAGGAATAATTATGAAATAACAATCATAACAATAATAAAGCCATAATAATAATAAAATGGGTAGTAGCACCACTAATACGACAAAACACTGGTTATAATTAGTAATAATAATAATAATAACAGTAATAATAGTCGTGGCAATGCTAATAGTAGTAGTTATAATCATTCTTCATTTTGTAATTATTATGAAATTCGAAATAATGTGCCTGAAAAATGAGAAAGCAGGATATTTATACTAAAGTTTAGGTAACTGAAAAGAAATGAGTCTATTAAGTCGTATACGTTCCTTCTCACTACCACAACTGCATCTCGTCAGTATGACGGCTATGGAGTACGATGAAGGAGAAAATATTAGGGATGAATGTGAGGTAAAGAAAATATAAAATAATGAAGGGGAGAATAAAAATCAATTTTTAATAAGGTTTATAATAAAAGGGATAGTCAAGTAGGGGAGAATTGAAAAGAACAAATTATTTTTGAGGAAAACTTTAGTTTAAAAAAGTATATAAGAATCTATTTGACATGAGAGGAGAGGCGAAAATTAAACGAAAAGAAGTACTTTCTGGAAGCGTTCTTCAGTCTGATGTGGCATCATCCGATTGCTTTAAATGATATGGTTGGATCTGTTTTTCTCTTTCTTAAATTTTGTGCCACTTTGTTCAGTTTCGTTTTTTTATGCGTTTTGTGCTGTGTAACAGCAGGACAAAACGCATATTGTTACGGGGTTGTCTGTGTGTGTGTGTGTTTTTGTGTGCGCGTGTGTGTGTGTGTCCGCAGCAACTTGTCCGCAACTTTCAACTCGGGAACCACA